GCTGCCTGCGGGGGGGCCGGGAAGAAACCCCCAAACTGTTTTTGAAGTGTCTGACAGAAGTGGTTTAGTGGAGTCGACCCCCTTAGGTTCTGCATGGGCTGAAAAACGCACAGAGAAGTAAATGTTCGGGGAAAGTTTGGGATATCTGGGCCAAAAGAGAGTTTCAAACTCCAAAAACTGTTCTTCGTCTCAATTAGAAAAAGAGTACATTTGTTTAAGTTCCAGCTTCTGTACAATTTTTTTTTAATCTTAATGACTGTATATTTCTGTACTTTTTTTTTTTGGTGGTGTAGAACATATTACTTGGTAGAGGTAAATCCTGACTGACTTATCTTAAAGGAGAGCGTGCAGTCTTTTCGTGGTTGTCTGTTTTATGCTAACAGTTGTCTTCTAAGTGTATATCTGTATGTTATGGCTCATACCAACAGTTCTTCTTGTCAAGCCTTTGCACAATTCTGTAAATTATCTCATAGGTTATTGTTAGGTTTTTTAAGTGTTACTGTGATGTTTAGACAAAATCTTGTTGGCAGAATTTTGATATTCTGAAATAAATTATGTTTTTGTTTTGGTTTATAGTTGTAATATTTTGCAGAGACGTCATTCTGCAGTTAAGAATTGTAAAAGTGTTGGATGTGCAGCAATTAGGTGCATTGTCAAGCTACCAGGTAAACGTGTGTAGTTTGAGTTAGAACCTCCTTTTTGTTGCCTAGGCAAATTGCAAGAGCATTGACATGGGAATGTGATTTTTTTACATATTTCTTGAAGGCTTTTTCTTAAACTGGTTTACAGTATGTTGTCTATATTCTGTAGCTTCTTTTCCTATTAATAAAGTTAGAGCAGCAGCGGAGGTGAAGCAGTCAGTACTTGTGTTGTGTGGGGTTTTTTAAGGATAACATAGTGCTGAAACTTCTAGAAAACGTATAGTTGATTTCTAGGGCTTGAATGATGTTCATGATTTCTTTGAAGTGTTAAATTAACTTTCATGTGGACAAAATAAGAAAGCACAGGAGCAGCTGATAGCTATGATTTCAAGTACTAGTTGAGCATGCTAAGCTTACTGTTCCCCTCACTGTGTTTCCTTGATTGAGTAATATATCTAGGGGTAACTTATGTTATGTGTTCCTTGGTGTTTGTGTGGAGAAGTGTAGAAATTCTAATGAATAGGGGCTATATCTTAAGTGCATATTATGAAGCAGGTTTCAGGGCATTCCTAGAACTACTTATTACTAATGCATTATTTAGCAGCAACTTGATTTAGTATAGCATAGGAGCTGTCTTCCTTTTATGAAAACAATAAATTCAGAAGAGAAAGAAGAAAGACTTGTGTGGAATTTGAAGAGGACCATTACTGCGGAGTGGTCTAGGCTCTGAAGGCTTATCAGCAACGTACAAATCTTTATTTAGATGCTCCAAATCAATAAGCATGTCCCAACTGACAAAGCTGTGCCAGCACAGCACAACTGTGGTTGCAGTTATATGAGCAAAATCCTCTTGTTAGTATAGTTCATTCAGTTTGGGTAACTGGTCTGAACTTACCCTGGGGAACCCCCACGATTTATTAATTCTGGTTAGCCCTTTCTCTCATAATAGAAAATAAAGTTTTATACCTGAAACCAGAGTTCCTGGTGATGGTATGAAAGCCCCCAAATAAACCTCTAGTTCTCTGGATATAAAATTCAGGTTTCCCCTCACCTCTCTCTTATGACTTAGATTTTGTTCTGCAAAAAAAAGATTATTCTAATATACCAATAAGACAGATATGGTTATGTAGTTCATGTTCTGTTGCTACTGTTGCAGTACAGGTGGTGGTGTGCTGTGCAACAGAGGACTTCAATGTCTCTCATAAGTAAATCTTAAGTGAGTAGCTCTAATAACTTCCTAGTATGTTGCATCGCTTGTACTGTTTTCCCGGGTGAGTTTGGAGTGTAATGCATGTGTTTGCAAAGAGCTCAGGTGGCAAGAAGCCTTCTCTTCTTAAGCGAGTCTCTCCAGTCCTTTATATCCCCTAAACTTCTACTAAGTTATAAGGCTGTTGGCTTCTAATACAAGTTTTAGAAGTCAACAGCCTTACATTACTGAATTATGTTTAAACTATGTAGTCTTTCGAAGCCAAACACTTCAAGGTGATGCAATGCGTGGACAATTGCTGTGGCATTCCTACTTGACATAGCTGAAGAAATATTTGAGAGACACAGGATAAAGTCTTTCACTGACGTCATGATTAAGCACTTCGCTTCTGACGTGATGGGAGTTCTTCATGCAGGCTTTTTTTTGTTTTCCTTGTAAGCAGGCATGAATCATCCCGTCTGCCTTATTGTGAGTTAACGTTCCTGTAACTGAAGTATTTATAGAGGAAGCATATTCCCAGAGAATTCCTTTATTTGAAACTTCTGGGGGAAGGTGGGGCATTGGAAGGTGTAGCTTGCTTTGCTGTGCTGTATTGAAGTTGGCCTGGTGTTAATGTGTTGTTACAGGGTCTTTGTCGGCTTATTTTTTTTCCTTTGTGACAACTCCTAAAGCTTTTATTCTGTGAAAGGTTGTAATCAGATGTGAGGTAAGGGTTGTTCTGGAGGCTTAGTAATGTGCACTTTCACATCTACCCGGTGTCATGTATATCCAAGTATGTGATACCGAGGCTCAAACTATCAGTCAGTGAGTATTTTGTTCCGTGCGCCCTTCTGGTCAGCTTAAAACTAAACTTGATAAAGAAATTATTTAAAGTCTATGTATTCGTGGTAGGTCAGCAATAGGATTCACAGAAAATTGCCACAGACTTCTGTTTTTTTTAAAGAATAGTTTGTTACCCTTTTAATTCATAGACAAACTGGTCTGCTTTTAGTAGTATCCTGGCTGCTACTCTCCCAGTTCCTTTGGTATGTTGTGTGTGCCTGTTGTGGAGGGTTTGGACTAGTATTTATCCAATATTGTGTTTGCTTTGGGTCTTGCTTGTGTTGGTCAGAACACTAATTTTACCAGTTATGCATGCTAAAATTACAATTTGTCTAGTCTACATAAAATCTTTTATTTGCACTCAGATTAGTCTTGTGCCTATCACCACTGAGTCATCGCTGGCATTGCTTTTAGTAAGCGCTTGTCACAGAGGAGACTGAAGCTTGGGTGGATGAGGGAGCTGAATGTTTTTTGTTTACTGATCATATTGACTAAAAGCAGGTCCTGGCCCTGGAAGCACAGTGCCAGTGATATAAATGTTTCTTTGCATATCTTCTGAACCTTGTCTCACTTATACAATGGTTACCACCACATTTTGAAAGACTATGCAATTGAGATTTAAGCCTTATCATGCAGGCAAATCCTCTGAATGCTCTTAAGGAGTAGTGGCTGATTGTCTCCTTCATACCTCTCGACATAAGAGCAGAATTGACTTGACATCAGCTTGCTAAAGCTTTACTGCACATAGTTTGTATTGAAAAGCAGCAGCCGTTCTTTGTAGTCTGCAGGTGAAAGTGGCTTTTTCATTTCTTGTCCAAAAAACTGGGAATCTGCAAATCGCTCAGCCTTGCATAGGTTAGCCATAGGTACATAAATAACAATCTACACGTGCCATTCTAAAGTGCACTTGAAATTTTTTTGAAAAATTTTCATGTAGTCACATACCATAGGAAGTTAATCATAATCTTGTTTTTAGGCCACTGACATCAGTGCGGGTTGTGAATTCCGTCCCTTACTGAGAGCGTGACTGTTTCATAAACATGTAGGAATCTGCAGTTATCCTTGCAGTAGTTTGACACTTTAATGCGGAGCTCTCATATTAGTGAATGCTTTGACCTAAACAGAAAAATGAAAACACCTTTTGCACATTTGAGGTCCCTTCCAACCCCTAACATTCTGTGATTCTATGAAGAGCATGTGTCTTGTCAAGATCAAAAATAGTTTTAACTGGGAGGGAACTACAACAGTTTACACTGACCTTTTTATGCCATTTCTGAATTACTGCTTGTAGGTTTGAGTGCACTTCTAATTCTGTAACATTTCTGATTTAACATTTAGGTCATTCTATTGCTTGAGGATGCTAGATTTCCATATTAATGATGCAAGATATATTTTTGTTGTAGTTTGGAGCAGAATTTCGACGATTTTCTCTGGAAAGATCCAAACCTGGAAAGTTTGAGGAATTTTATGGATTATTGCAGCATGTGCACAAGATACCAAATGTGGATGTTCTAGTGGGATATACAGACATTCATGGAGACCTGCTGCCTATCAATAATGATGACAATTATCATAAAGCAGTTTCCACAGCCAATCCTCTACTCAGGATTTTCATTCAGAGAAAAGGTAAGTGCATTTTAAGTCTGTGAATCACCTGTTTATCCAGTTACACAGTGTTGCAGTAAACAGTGTAATGTATGGAGGAAAAGAACCCTTCAGTCCTATTTCGTCATGTTGAATTCTGTAATAATTACGGATCACGAAAAGTATTCACCACTCATCTCTCTTTGAAGAGCTTCTTCAGGCAACCTATTTGTACTTTGCGCTTTTTTGCTTGTATTTAATTTGGTTAGATAAAGTCAAGTTAAATGTCTAGCAACTGCTTCCATTCTGGTTTTATGTAGGCAAACGAAAATAGACTTGAAACCCATAGAGCTTACTGCTCTGAGTGTTGGATGCCTTTCACTTAAAATTCTGATCTTTATCAGACAAGAAGAGAGACTATGACAGGATGGAAAGGAATCTTGAAAGTCTTATTACATGGCGTATTAAATGTCAGTATAAATTAAAGACTAACTTTGTAATATGCTACTTCATCATGCTTTCCTAATAAAACATTCGAAAGCTTTCAAAATTACAAGCTTATTTCACTTAGCAAACATCAAATGTGAGCGCTGCTCAATTTCTTGGTTTGCCTTTGAAAACAGCATGTCTTCTAGGCACCAAGTTCTGGTAGCCTTTCTAGTGTCTACTTTTGTTCTTGAAGGAAAAGAATAATCATCAAACTTGAATTTGTATTTGTTTTTGTCTGGATAAACATATGGTGTTTGAAATTGTTTAAATCTGGAGAACTGAACCCAATATCTGCACTTTTTGGTTTTCTGCTTACTTGGCAGGTGTGAGTGTGTGTCTATATGAACATGTATGTGCAGTTTCTGTCGTATTAAGGCAGGTAACTGATCTGTGAATAGCAGGCTGCTTCTTGCTTAGCCATCTTATCTCAAGATGTGCACTGGTTCTGGTTGTTGCTAAGACGGACTTACTTTCCTTAAAATTACTTGAACGCATCAGAAATTTTTATCAACTTCCCTACTCCAAAAAATGAATAAGCTCTGTAACAACATGACAAAAAATCGACATTCAAAACCAGTGTGGCTGTGTTCCAGCGGCTGTGTTGCTGGCAAAATGTTTGGTTTATATTGCAGGTAGTATAGTCTAGGAAGGTCTATGCTTTCTGTTCTGAACTGTCAAAGGAATAAACTGTTTGCTTTAATAGAACCTAGAGATAGGAAAGGTCTATGATTCCTTTTAATCTCCTACAGTAACCATATGACGAGAACAGATAAGCCACTTTGTCAGACTGGGATTATTGAGTTTATATTTTAACACCATATGGTTTTAGATTGTTACTGGTGTTACATGTTTAATGCTGACTTACTAGTGTTACATTTGTAACACCCTACACCTTCTCTGTACCTTTATTTAAAGTGTGATGGATTAATTCTTGCTACTCTGGTGTGAGGAATTTATAATAGAATTGGTATAATGCACGGAATTAGAAATAAGATTAACCCACTTAAGTTTATCATGTCAAGAGTTGATTAGCAGGAAAAGATAGATAGAAAACATCAGTTGTCGTCACCTTCCCTTTGAGACTAGAGTCTGCTGGCTACAGAGTTTTTATGAGTAAAGAACCCAGGGTGGCATCCAAGTGCAGCTCTTCCAGCACTGTGCTCTGTTCTGAATTAGTTGTGACCACGTCGGTCACTTCTGTTGTTTAAATCGAGGCTTTGATTCCATCAGCTTCTTTGCCTTACAGAACAGAGATTTGCTTGATGGAAAATAAGAGAATAACTTGATTCCATATTTTATTTGTGATAAATTGCCTGTCATAAAATTTGAATTGCCGGTATTGGAGATGTGTCATAATTTGTGCAGCATAATTTGTTAAGGTGGGATAAATTCATCAAGTTGCACAGATATTTTTTGGGTGTACTTCTGAATTTGAAAATCAAATGTCTAAATAAATACCTGCTATTGGTGGGGCAGCTTTGATCTGTGCTGGGTTGGAACTGTAACTAGTAAGTGACATGAGTTAGTTTTCCACCTGCAAAGCTTCTTGTGGCCTTGATACATTTTTCTTTTTTTTCTTTTTTTTTGTAAATCATCTGAAAAATTTCTGTGGGATTTCCAGCAGTACGAGTTGGTAATTTAAGATCTTCAGCAAAAAGCCATTGTGGGGAAGGGAGAAAGTTTTTGCAGTCTTAAAATACAAGCAATTTTATTATATTTTCTTACCTATTTAGAAGTTATATGTAATTTGTGGAAAGTTAAAATGAGTTATGAGCAGACTATGGTAAAATCTAGGGTAAATATTAACTCCTTAAAGGGTTGAAATGGGAGCAACAAGATGCTTTTGTAATGTTTATTAATAAGTGACAATTGTGATAATGTGACTTCAAAATTTCAGAAATTTTATGTCAGGAAGCACTCTTTTCCTCTTCAGTTTTATTTTTGACTCCTAGTTTATGAAAGCTAGGAAGTCGCCTGTCCTAAACATTTATGTGTATTAATGTGGTAAGAAACCTAGAGATCCTGTAGTGAAATCAAATCACATTATTCCACTTAGCCTCTTCTGATTGTATTCAACTAAATTACTTTAAAATATTGTAAACTGCTCCAGTACTAAATCTAACTGGAGCTTGGTATTGCAGAAGTCAAGAACAGCTGTCAGTTTGTGGAAAACATACGCTTATTGGTATTTCATTCTGCACTTTAACAGATTAACAGGTACTGTTGACATCTGGAATTTAAAGGTTAAACCAATGTACCATGATTAAATCCAGATGTATGGGAGTCGCTCTGTCTGTGAGAAAAGTCTTGTGGAAGATAAAATGATGGGGAGGGACAGAGTCCACACAGGCCCTGAAGGGGAAGCTTGATGTGTGGGACTTTGCATTGTAAATACAAGAATAATAGAGATGGTGACTTAACAAGAGATATTTTTCACTCACTTGTGGGATTTTAAATTCCAATATACAACTCCTCAGGTTCTGCGCTTACATGGTTGTATATAGTAAAAAGTGGGTTCTTTGGTTAATTCTTTTGTGCCCCTTGAGAGACTTTTTCACAGAAAACTTTATTTTGGTGAAAAGAGGAGTAGGCTTTTTTAAACAGTTCTTAGGGTATGGATTATCCTAACTATTCCAAGTCTTCTTCCTAAAAACAAGTTAGTCTCCTAAACCCATCCTTTGTTATAACGTTTGACTAAATAAGGCTTAAGATTTGTTGGACCTTATTTTAAAAAAATGCCGTACTGCACGTATATTCAATCTGGGGATTTTGAAAAATGAATTCTTAATAATTCTACGTTGCTTTGCAAATACATCAGAAAGTATTTTAAGTATGTCTTGAAAATGTTAAATTGAAACAAGATTTGTCATTCTCAGGCTTTTGTTTTAAATTTCGTTTAAGAAGTACGTACACATTGGTGCCACCTTGAGCTCTAAACCACTGGGGGAAAAATCATTCTTGCTCTCTGTGGACATTCTCCTTAACGCTATCTTTAGTTAACACCTTGTCCTTTGGCTTTATGCCAAAATATTTTCCATTGCAGCTTTAAACTGATTAGCTAGGTGCCAGAACAAAGTTGCCTTTGTACTCAAGAATATTGCTTTAGAAAATTTGTTTAGCAGTGGAAGAGAGGTTAAACAGAGTCATGCTGTTTGGCTGAGATTTGGAAAGATGAGTTTTCATCAAGCTTTCACTGTTTCTTTTCTTCATAAAATTTGTAACTTTAATTGTGTATTTTAAGATTTGTGCTAGTTTTGAATTATTAGACTACTAGGACTAGTTACAATGCAGGAAAAACTACCCTATGATGCTTTGTAGTTTATTAAATGTTTTGATGTATGTCTTGCAATATTGGGATGCTTTTATTCCAACAATGTCATGTGACTTTAGTCTCAGTGCTAAGATTTCTGATTGTGTATTTGTGTTATGAAAGAGGCTTGTAAAGTTCGTAACTCTTCCAATGAATGTTTTTCTGATCTTAGTTTTTATTTTAAAAACACTTTTGAATCTGTTACTTCATATACAGTTATATTTACATAATTCTTTCAAAGCCCATCCTTTTAGAACTGTATCCATGTTTCTTTACTAACTGAAAAATTTTATTTGGACAGAAGTTTTAAGCCTTATCAGCTGGTTCTGGGAAGGCAGGTTGGGTGGTGATTTTTGTGAAGTCATTTTGTGTTGGGGAAGCAAGTTGTGAATATTCATCTTGTTAGATCTAGGACTAAAGTTCTTATCCTTTGCAGGACATGGTAAATCTATTTCTTGGCTGTAATAAATGTGTCTGTGTTAGCCTATCTAAAACGGGTCAGACTTAGCATGTAGGCACAGAAGGCTGAGTGTCAGGGCAGGCTCCGGGGATCCTGATCTGTGGCTGACTAAGACAGCCAAGAACCCTTAGAGGCTACTGTGGCAAGCTGGGGATGTTGGATATGATACACGTTTGATATGACAGAGTGTGTAAAATACCAGATGCTCTGGTTCTTTTACAAGAATCTGAATGCGTGCACTTTAAGAAGAACCCCAGAACTTAATACCTTTGAATGTTGCAATGCATGTGAAAGAGTGAAAAGGTCAGTGCTGACGGTGTTTTAAAACACTGCTTTCCTGTGTGCTGTTTCTAAACCAACTCTTGTAGTAAAAGCAGCAGAAAACTAGTCCTTCACTGGTGCCAGTATCTTAGTTCCTATATCCCAGAGTTTTCACCTACAAGTTGCACTCTAGCACAAGTAGATTGTGAACATGCAATTAATCTATTTTCTTTAGATAAGCTGACCCTTTTTTCTTTTTGTTCTTAAAAAAAAAAAAAGGCATTTGTCTTAAGGTCTGGACAACACGGAACTAATCAGTTAAAATGCGTCCGACTTACTCATTGTGTTTTTGGAGAACTTCCCAAAGAACCGAGCTCTTGTGGGGCAATGCGATGTTAAATGCCTGTGTCACCACTGCAAACTAAAAAAGTCAAGCTTTTGAAATGATGCAAAATGACACTTCTTGTCCATGCATATGTCTCTGGTCCTTGGAATACTTTGATCTTGTTGAATTTGCTGTTGACTGTGCAGCCTTAAAGCCAGAGTTCTAAAGTATCAGAGATCTGCACTAGTTAGGCACGTGCTGCCCAGAAAAGTTTTTACGTGTGTTTTGAGATCACTAAGAGCATAACAGCTGCTGGTGGGGGAGAGGGAAAGGCATGACCTAAAAAAATGGACCTTTGTACTCATTAACATTCTTAATTCTAATATTCAAGTCACAATTGTCTATTATCTAAAATCTACACCTCTACTATTGCTTTCTTGCTGTTGTTCTGTTACTTTGTATTGGACAGTAAAAGATATTTAAAGCAAGGCCCTTCTGTCTAGTATCTCATTTCACAATTGCTCTTTCCAAGTTGTTTTGTAAGTGATTGTAGTTCCAAATAAAAAAAAGAGATGCTATTGCAACTCATTGAATTGCAAATCCTCCCAGTGTAATGACCAGATGTCTAACCTAAAACTGGTTGGATGGGTTGTCAGTAGAGATAAGGGCAAAATTTCTCACACTTTTTTCTTTGATCATAAATTTTAAGCAAACATTAAAGAAGTGCTCCATGTTGTCTGAAAAATCATGCTGTTACTTGTCACCAGTGTTGTACAGGGATTCTGATGGCTGACCTTCATTCAGTTAGATATCCCAAGACTTTATTATATGGAGATGAAACCTCTCTTCTGAGCCTTTTCTCCTCCAGCGAGAAAAGACCTGTCTCCTCCAGTCTTTCCTCCAAGGGTGGATTCTCCAGCCGTTTGATCACTTTTGTCACCTTCGTTTGGACCCTCTCGAGTCTGTCTATATCTTTCAGGAATGGTGAGGACCAGAGCTGGACACAGGGCTCCAGGTGCAGCCTGACAGGTGCCCAGTACTGGGTTGGTCACATCTTTCTCTCCCTCATGTGGAAGCAGCCCAAGGATCCAGTTTGGCATTGCTGCTGCAGCACGCTACAGAATCACATTGTGCTTGCCCACTGGGACCCGTGGGGCCCTTTAAGAGGCATCTATGCCCTCCTGAAGTAACTGCAGTTTGTCACAAAAGTGATTCCTGAGTGTAGGATGACTGCGTAGACCTGGCTGTCTTCAGAAATCATTACTGTTGGTGTGAATTAAAATGCTGAATGACTTGAATGCAAAAGATATTCTGTCTTTAGCAAACAGCTTTGCCTTCTTTAAGGTGTGATTGTTTTTTTAAACAAAAAAAAGAGGAAACAAAAAAAGAGGAAATACAGATGAAACCATCATCAGGAAACACATCTTTTAACAATGTTGGTGAACTATTTTGTTACTGTTTTGTACACGCAAGGTATGAGTTTATAGTGAGTCCCTTTGGTTTTAGTGGGTTTTGTGAGCTAATTTAGATTTATTTCTTTTTTTCTTGTTGTCCTTCAAATTTACTTTTCCTGTTGTCCTTTGTCTTAGTAGACTAATCATTCTTTAAAAAACTCTTCTCGTTTTCAGCAGCTCTAATGTCTCTGGAAGGGATGGGTTAGTATTATCTGTTGGAATAGCATTAGACTATTGCTTCAGAAATACTTTTCACAGTTCTATATTGCTTAAAGCATCTGAAAAGTCCACATATAACTGTACATGTCCCTATATCTTCATCTTAGACTAGGGAGAAAAAAATCTTTAGACTTAGCAACTCTCGCTAGGAACTTTTTTTTTTTAATCAGCTCTCTTGAAATTTCACACTAGCGTAGTATTTCCATAGTTATTTCGATTCACAGACTGAAGTGTATAGCACTTTGACTTTCTTGGCTGTACCAATGGCATCTTAACGTGATAATACAAAGAGATTCAAACTTCTCTGAGTCCCAGGGTTAGTGTGAACCAGTGCTGCTTGATTATCTTTTTATCCACTGCAGGGGAAGAAAGAATCTATGCAGTGTTGCAAAACTACAAATGTAAGTCCAAGGAAACTTGGATCTGAACATGTTTTGACTCATTGTTTTTGGAGAGTTATCATGTGTTAAAAAGAAAAATGGAATCTTCCTTAGGTGAATAGGCATTTGAGACATCAGAATTGCTTCTGCAGAACATGTTTTCTCTTCTGTTAGAAGTATTTGTATGACTTGCGTAAGCACTTTGCACACTTCTGTATCAAGTTGTGGCAGTTAGAGCATTGCTTGTGTGAACGGTTTTGCTTGAAGTATTTGTGTGCAAGATCTCTTTGTTTCTGCTCCACAGCCATTTTACCTACAGCGTGTGGGGGCAGGGAAGAGAGTGCAGAATGGAATAAGCTTTCTGGAGTTTGAATCCAGGTCACTTGGCTGGCTTCCAGGAACTAGGCAATAATAGGCACACTGGCTGCTTTCCCTTTTTCATTCTTTCTTTTCCAATGATCTGAAACCTGAGGAGAGAAAACTCACAAGTGGAATTACTCTGACTAAAAGTGAAATATTTCTAGGAATGTACTTGCTCTTCCCATTCCAACCTTTCTGTCAAGCATCTAGAATACAATTCTTTGTGTCCCTACTGCTGCTAGCTTTCATTTTCTTGTTCACTGTCTTTCCTTTGGTAGAAGGAAGCCAAAATATTAGAATCTTGGAGTCTCATAACATTAAAGCTCCTGTTTCATGTGTGTGGGGAGATGTTTCTACTATAGCAAGGCAGAAGCCTTAGATTAGCTATTTCTTTCTGCTAACCTAACGTGATAGCAATGTGATACAGCCCAGCTATAAAGTGATCTAATCGACCATGTGCTATGTCTTACAGAAGATGCAGACTACAGTGCCTTTGGTACGGATACTATGACAAGGAAGAAAAATGTCTTATCAAACGTGTTACGTCCGGATAATCACAAGAAGAAACCACACATTGTCATTAGCATGCCGCAAGACTTCAGACCAGTATCTTCTATTATAGATGTAGATATTCTCCCAGAAACCCATCGTAGGGTGCGACTTTACAAATACGGAACCGACAAACCCCTTGGATTCTATATACGCGATGGCTCCAGTGTCAGAGTAACACCACATGGATTAGAGAAGGTTCCGGGGATTTTCATATCTAGGCTTGTCCCTGGAGGTCTGGCTCAAAGCACAGGCTTACTGGCTGTCAATGATGAAGTACTGGAGGTGAATGGAATAGAGGTTTCAGGAAAAAGCCTCGATCAGGTCACAGACATGATGATTGCAAACAGCCGCAACCTGATCATTACGGTAAGACCAGCCAACCAGAGAAATAATGTTGTGAGGAACAGTCGGACTTCGGGCAGCTCCGGTCAGTCGACTGAATCTAGCCTTCCAAGTAGCACACCGAATATTTTATCAAATTTCTTGCAAGGGGAGGAGGAGAGCGATGAGGAGGACATTATTATTGAAGACAGTGGTGAGCCACAGCAGATTCCGAAAGCCACGCCTGCCAGTGGAAGCCTAGAATCACTGACACAAATTGAACTCCTTCATGAGTCGACACAGAATGGATTCCTTCCTTCCAGTGAGATGAACTTGAACCATTCCGCAGGCAGCATTAGCATGGAATATGAAGTACAAGAGCCGGATCATAAGTCATTAGAAGAAGATGGAACTATAATAACACTTTGAAATGACACTGGTGTACTTCCTGTTAAGTAAGGATGCCATATGTGTTTTACCTTGGTTTAATATGGAATACATTTGATACCTCTCCATCTACCAAGCACTGCGGTTCGATTAAAAGGAAGGAAAGAGTAAATACAAGAAGTTCATAATTATGTAAGTTGACTAACTTCAGTTAATTCTTCACTTCACTGTAAATACTTCACAAAGATGGAAGACAATTGATAAATGTCTAAAATGAAGGATAGTTAAGAGATAGCTGTGAGCTTTCTTTTAAAGGTACTTGATTTTATATTTTTTGATGCAGAAAACTATTGGTTCTGTAGAAGTAAACCTGGATTGTTGTGTGAGGTTGACTATCTAATATACTGTGGTTTCATCTTCATCTGAAGTGCTGCTTACGTATGATGAAGCTGCTTTAGCCCCTTCATTCCTGTTCTGGACTGCTGTCTAAACGCTGGCAGAGCTGTTTGTGTGGCTCAGTGTATGAGGAAGTAGAAAAACAAGCAGGAGGTGGGATGGGAAGAGATGTTTGTTCTTGGTTCAGTTCCCTGACTGCTGACACGTTGAGCAATACATGATAGCGGTCAGCAAGCGGACAACAGTCAGGATTTAAAGGGGGGAGCTTCTGAAGTTGACGTCCTTTGTAAGTGATGTGCAACCACAGGCTCATTAATCACGCACCTTGACTGTTTTCAGTGGCCAGGTAAGCTTGCTTTTAACGACTATGATTTTGAAATTCAAATGAGAAAATCTTAACACACAACAAAGACCTGTTGTCGTTTTAGTTTGCAATATTTAAAACTGTCTTTGGATTTAGTCGCTAATACTAGTAAATTTCTGAAAAATCAAATGTAAACTTAATGCTATGAAAATAATATAAACTATGTTAATCACAGTCCTAGTAGAAGCTGTAAAGGTTTCTACTAGCAAAGGTTTGTTGTAACGAGTCTGAATTATGTAAAAAGTTATTTTCCTCAAACCTGGACGAGTTAGAACGGCTTAAGTTAAATCCCTGGATTAGAAAAAAATTAAATCAGAATGAGGCTTTAATAGAAGTTGCTTGGGCCATGTGATATTAAATTATTCATTACAAAGAACTAAACTGTAAATGCTGATCTTTGTGTACCATTGGATGGGTGTTTCGAATATTACCAAGTTGCTGCATGTAAAACAAAGTACTGATGACAAATCCCAGTACTGCGAGTGAGTAAGTTTGTGTGCGAGCAGCTGCAAGCTTACTAGGAGTTGCAGGGAGAGGCTTCTAGCATTCTTTTGCCCCTTTCCCCTTTTACTATCACCTGCTTTTACCACCTTAGCACTCAGTTCCCAGCCTGACCCTCCTCTGGGAGTGTGAGTTGTGGCAGGAAAGTGAGATGAGGACTGAGGGGGTTGGGGAGAGACGAATGGATGGATTTTCTCCCCACAGATCCCCTGGTCAAGCTCTGGGTCAGCCTCGGGGAAGGCAGGAGGATGCTGCCAGCTCTGTGCTGTGGTCCCGTGCTTGCCAGAGCCAGCAGGCTCGGTCCTTGGGAGCAGGTTCTGCCCTGTGGACAGGGTGAACGGGAAAGGAGACGAACATCTTGGTGTTCTGCCCTCAGTCTGTCTTGAGGAAACATCTACCTCTGGTAACTTTACTAACAAGAGACTAACTGCAGGTTTAGTGCTAAGGCATCTGTAAAAGTCCTTGTAGGATATCGGAAGCTAAAAACGTATATAAGATTTTTGTACTGATGTAAACCAAATTACTTCAGAAATGACTGCTGTTAATTTTACTAATTGAAATTAAAAATTCAGAGATCACGAGGAATACTGTTTGCAAGTTTTCAGCACCATTGAAGTTCAAGTTTATAGATGTCAAGGAAGGTACTGATGCCCATTTTGATTTACGGAGAGTTCACTTAACAGACAACGATATTTAACAATTACAGGTTCGAGTTCTCCTTTGTCAGAGTTATTTCTGGTTTCTTCAGTGTGCATCTGGAGAGGCCCGGGAATCTATTCCAACATGAGCAAGAATTTTGAAGTGTTTTACTTGTTTGGCTAATAATTATTAAGAATGAAGTCACTACATCCATTTAGTGTGAAATGAGGAAAATGTTCATTCTGCAACATGTAGACTTCAAATAGACAGTGCTGCTCTACACTTCCTTTATTTAAGGAAGATTGTTTACTTTAAGATGTCTATATTTCTTCTCTTCTATCAAAAGACTTTTCTTCCTGTATGAAATAATCAGTGGAGGATCTTTTTCATTTATTATGCTACTTCTGTGCCTTTTGTTTACTTGAATGTATTGTGAATAATCAAAGGAACCAAGGGCATTTGGATGAGAAATGAGGTCCACAGATACAGAGAATGAACTGGTAGTGCACTTCATACAGGGGTAATGTTTTTGGTGGAAGCATATTATGGGTCTGATACGATACGTGAGTATTTTGCAGCTTGAGTAGTAGCTTTGAGCTACTACCTTAGGTAGGAGGGCTGAGTTGGAGAGTGCCGGTGGTGTAAGGTAACTACTGCTTAGGTACAAACACCCGAGGTTAGTGTCCCGGCAAACTGCGCGTTACCTAATCTGTACTTAGCACAGACGCATGACTGTTTTGAATATATATGCCAGTATTAAGGACTTGTAGAAATTTAACTAGGGTCCTACTCTGAATTGCATGAGACTTCATCTCTTAGGACCTCTCCTGAAAACTGATTAATCTAAATGTGAGATAATATTCTTTGATACACATCATGTTGTTTTACAGAAATTGGGTAACATAGTAAAACTCAGCATTTGGGACTCGATAAAAACATTAAAAAATAAACCTAAAACTGAGTTTTTAAGTGTGTATTTACAGTTACAGTGACAGACTGCACAGCATGTAATTGCTTAATGCTGCAGTTACCATGAAGTTTCTAAAGTTCTTCCATATCTTACTAATGCATACACTGTTAATTACAAAGTACTTTTAAATTGTTACTTCAGGATGATCAATAGTTGATTATGAGTGGTTAAACTTAATTTTATATATGAATGATACTGGGGTTCAGTGTAAGGTTTTTTAAAATACGCTGATATTGTTAGCCTTTCATTCACTACCTCCTAAATTTTTAACATCTTTACAGTTTTCTCCCTGGAAGAAAATACTTAAAGGCTTGACTGTTTTATATAGATTTTATCTTTAGCTAAAAAAAAAAGAAAGAAAAAATCCAAAAGTGGATGCTACGCATGATTGACAATGTTACGCTGCTATTAATGTAATCTTTGTGTATTAAGTATCCTGTGTATGTAAATTGTATTTTCAATCCAGATTTTATAAATTAATTTATAAATATCCAAATTATTTCCAAATGGAATGGGAAGCTAAAATTCTGTTAACTAGTGTTATATGTTGTGTACATATACAGTGGGGGGACAAGTCATTCCTTACTTGCAACTTGGAGATTTAAGTGCACCTTAATAGTAAAAAGAACAAATTCTTAATAGAGTTAAGATGCATTTACTTTGAAGTTCTGCTATGGTACTAGATAAGTCAAGCCTAACTGTGAATCATTTTTTTTTCCCCCACAGCTGAATTAATTTTAGGACAATGTTCTCACAAGCTGTCTTTAACATGTGTATTTTTGTGAATATTATGTATTTTCTAATTAAATTTTACTTGCAATGTGATTTTTACATGAATGAACTTGTTTAAAATGTCAAATATCAGTATTTTTCTTACAACTTTAATGTATAATGTACATTGGTATCTCACTGAATGAAGATTGATTTTACAAAATCAAGCTAGATGTAGTTGTATATTAGTCTTATATTTTTACAGACTGGAATAATAAATGGATATAGAAAAAAGTTTTGTTTGTTTGGCTTTTTTCTCAGTTACTTTGTCAGATAAGTAAAAACGGGGAAGAATATATCCTCTTATTCTCAAGTGTGAAAATTAGATGGGCTTCATTTTTTTTTTTTTGCCTCTCATGCAACTGAGTGGGCAGTTTTCTTGTCAGTCTTAAACGTTTGCTTCCTCTTCCCCCCTCTCTGGAGCAAATCTCTACATGTGGAAAGGACGAAAGTGTTCAAAATATTTTGTCCTTCAGTCCTGCTGACTAACCTGTGATGTGCTTACTCCCACAGTAGCTGCACGTAATGAATCTCATATCACTTGCCTGAGGAGTGCTCATAGAAAAGTTTAGGTTGTGACGCCTGGGAGATGGTTCATCATCTTCTGTTGCCTTTGTCAAGTGCTGCTCGTGATGTGGAAGTTTTCACTGTTACTGTAAGTATTTGGTATAATTATATTCAAGTTTTAATTTGAACCTATTCCACTTGCAAATGTTTTCTTCCATATCTAGTGCCTTGGCAGCCCTTGTAAATGTTTACCTAGGGACAAAAGACGAGTTTGTTTAGCCTTTTGGTGTAAGGCTTTTGTGACTGCTGCTCTTGGGGCAGATCATATGACTTCATATATATATGTGACAATTTTCTTTTGGAGGATTGAGTACTTTTCATACTTGCCTATGTAGCTATGGGGAGGTGACAAAAAGACTGACAACAGCATTACAGTGTCTTAATAGTAGTATGCAGCTGAAAGAACCACATCTGCTTTACCTGTGCACTCGAGTCTGAATGTCTTGTAGCTGGAAGTTTTTTACTTTGCGCAGAACCTGATGGCTCAGCCCTTGCCTAAAGGAATGCTGAAATTGGTATGGTATGCTTGAAATGGCACAAGCTTTAAAAATTCATCTTGCCTGTATTAATTTTTGTTTTCTAACTTCAAAACTTCTTTCCAGTGCATAAAGCTCTGAAACGAAGAGATTTCCAAGTTACTGACTCTTCAATATGTGAATTGTTGTGGGAGTGATTAACTTTCTAGTATTGCAGGTGACTTTTTCAAATATTTTAAATAAGTTAACTATGGAAAATGAGAAGCAAAATCTGAAGGACTGCAGACAGACTGCAAGGTTAGGCAGTAAAATGGCAAACAGCTTGGTGTAGGTTAAGTGTGCGTGTGTGTGTAAGAATAAATCTTATTTTTGCATATCCAATGATAAATGCCAGTCACACTTGCCTCTCAGGAACCCATTCCTGGACTATGATCATTCAGTGAAAACATCAGCCCTATAATTGCTAGCATGAAAAACAAAGCAATACTATGAGAGGAATAAAAGACAAAACTCATAATGTTGCTGTATAAAACCATGGTTCAGGAATGCTTTTAATACACTGTGCAATTCTAATTGCTTATTTTCA